TATCTTACTGTTTGTCTTATTCTAGCCCTATCTGCGTATTAATCATCTTACTCATTTCCTAGGGCTGCTATAGCAAATTACCATAAACATGGTGGCTTAAATCAACACAGATCTAAAAGTCAGAAATCAAGATGTCAACAGGGACGCTTTCCTTGATTAGGCTCCAGGACCCTGTTTCTCCCAGCTTCTGGCGTCCCTTGTGTTCCTTGGCCTGTGCAGCATCACTCCCTCCTCTGCCCCATCTTCACATGGTTTCCCCATGATGTCTCTGTGTCATCTAAGCAAGGACACTAAGTATATTTAATGGGCACAACTGAGGAGAACACACCTGTGATTAGATCAAGAAGGCCTCTTTCTGGCATATCGGCAACACTCGTCCAATATGATTTCAACCTTGTTAATTTTATCTGCAAAGACCCAGTTTCCAAGTAAGGTCATGTCCTAGGGTTCTGGATGGGCATGCAGTTAGGAAGACATGACTCAGCCCACAGAAAGCCCATGTTAAAGCTGGAATGGGATCCAAAGCTCGTTCTGATTTGTAGTTAAACAAATTCTCTTGGCCAGATGCCCTGTAAGATAAAAAGTGATAGCAGTAAGTCCCACAGCTGTTTCCAGTAAAGCTGGCCTACCTGTCCACGACAAGGTACCTGTACTTCTCAGCTTCAGCTGGAAGGGTCTCTGTCCAGTTGGCTGAGCCCTCGCCTGAATTAGACAGAGCCAGTGATTGAGTCTTCCAATGATTGAGAACCCTTTCTGTCCCTGCCAGGGAGGAAGGAAGCATTTGATAGAAATCAGAATAAATGGAGGCTTCCAAACAAGGATGTTCCTTCCATTCAACGGTTACGGGGTCCTCCAAGTCAGTGTGTACTAAAGTGCTTGCAGATGTTGTGACCATCAGCGCACAGCCAGTCTGAGAGTATCTGTGTACTTTCCTTTTTTTTTTTCAGTCTTTTTGCGACAAGGTATCACTATGCAGTTCAGGTGGGCCTTGAACTCACTCTGTAGTCCAGGCTGGCTCAGACTCATAGTGATCCTCCTGCCTCAATTTCTCCAGTGCTGGGATTACAGGCATGTACCATTATGCCTGGCAAGTCTGAATGTATTTCATTTTAAGTTGACTGGTTTTCTAAGCTCTAAGGTTAACCCCAGACCTTAAGTAGAAGTGCAGTGACTAGGTGTAAGGGAACAGGGTTTAACCCCCAGATCATAGGTGTCTCTCTGCTCCCTTCCCTCTCCCCCAGCCCTGTGCCATGGGGTCTCTGAGGAACCCAAGGGCAGGGAGTCTTGCCCAGGGTCCTCTGAGATTGGAACATCTGTCTCTCTCACAGGTTTATCATCATTTTTCTTTGACAGCATCTAGAAGCGTTATTTACAAGAGATAACATGTGAACTTTGAGCATTCATTGGACAGTCATTCCTGAGCACTTGATTTATGTCAGGCATAGTAGCCACCTAGGCAGGGGATACAGCCATGAGTGAAGGAGACAGTGCTCTTTGGCCCTAGATGACCCTCAGACCTTGGCATAGGTGCCAGTAGATCCATCAGAGCCTGTGATATGGCAGACTTCTCACTTGCTGGATCAGTGTTTTAGAGCAAACCTTGAGAGCCTGTGCAGGGAGAGTACAAGCATGGGGCCTTAAAGTTTCTTGAGAAAGCATGAATGAGAAGGACATACAGGCAGAGTCAAGGGAAGAGGGCCGTGCCATAATTGTTTGATTCTTACCCTGTATCTTACGTGGTGTGTTTTTGCTCTTTTTTTTTGGGGGGGGGGGTTGGTGATACCACAAATTGAACCCAGGGCTACATTTTATTGTGAGACAGGCTCACACTAAATTGTTGCCCACGCTGGGCTCAAATTTTGGACTCACTTGCCCTGGCCTCTCAGAGTGCTGGGATTATCAGCCTGTAGCACCATGCCCAGTTTATACTGTGTGACCTTTATTAAGAACTAAGATCCTGGGCTGGGGAGATAGCTCAGTGTAGCTCAGTAGGGCTCAGTAGGGCAAGTGCAGGGTCCTGAGTTTAATCCCCAGTACTGCAAAACAAACAGACAAACAAAAAAAACCCCTAAGATCCTGTGATGGTGACCAGCGAGCAAACGCTGAACTTGAACTTGCAACATGGCATGGGCTGCCTGGCCTGCTACACGTGCTTGTGTGGTATCCGCACGTTTCATGGGCAGAGGTCAGTATAAAACATCCTTCCATGTGTAAGCCTTTACCTACTGAATGGCTGTTAAATAGTTCTCTTTTCTTGTTTTTTTTTTTTGCCAAAAAAGTAACAAGGAGCATAAATTTAAACATCTTAAGTGTTAAGGAGGACTAGGGAGGTACCTCAGCAGTCTAAGCGCCTGTCTGGCAAGCACAAGGACCCAGGTTCAATCCATGGTACTGCATGTCATGCCGGCCCCAGCCACCAAAACTGGCCATTGGTGCACACACCTGTAATCCCAGCACTGGGGTGGCAGAGACAGGAGGATCACTATGAGTCCAAGCTGTAGAGTGAGACCCTGTACCAAATAAATAAACAAATAATATTTGTTAAATGTTTAGGAAAAGATAAAGCAGGAAACAGGATAAATTCACATACCCTGATGGCAGGAAACAGCGCTGTTAAGAAAGTTTAAGATCCTGGTGTTCATTAAAACTTCTAAACTCAAGGATCAGATTTAGACAAGAAGTTGAACATCTGGTCTACCCCCGAATCTGTCCATGAATCAATTGTAGTCTTGGGACAGATTTGAATATGAGATCCTTCTGTGACATTCCACCTTTAGTGGAAAGTCCAGGGCCTGGCCAGCAGCCTCGAACTATGTCTGGAAAGGGCTTTCCAGAAGTGCTAGATCTTTTGGGAGGCCTGAGTGCAAAAGTCCTGCACGTATGCTTAGAAACCATACACACCTCACCAATCTGTGTGTGCACATCGGCATCCTAGGCCACCTGTCCTCTTCCTCCCGAGGCCCAGCAGAACAGGGTTGCAGTTAGAGGGGCTGCGTGCCAGCCATCTTCCACCAGCTTCTACCCAGGAGCACAAAGGGGTCTTATGGAAATAAGCAGATGTTGCAGCCATTGAGTGTTTTTCTCTGACCCAGTGCTTAATAATTTCTTTTTTCTCTTTGATCGTTAACTAGGAGTCTAAAAAAAGTCTGGAAATGGCCATGGTCTCTGGCCAGTTAGGATCCCACACTGTTGCAACAGACCTCAGCATGGAGCAGTGAAGGTCTCTGTAGTTCAGGCCTTAAACTCATTCTGTAGCCTAGACTGGCTTCAGTTTTGCTGTGATCCTCCTGCCTCAGCCTTCTAGGTGCTGGGATTACAGACACACCGCCACCACCCACACAACATAGGACTTAAACAGCCAAACAGATTACATATTGATGTTTCAAACCTGGCAGAAAAACAAAAATTGAGAAGAAAATGCTTGTTGGCCCCCAGTACCTTTGCCATGATAGGGCCATGATTTATATGTCTTGCTGCCAGGCGGCTCTGAACCACCAGTGCTATATACAGGACTATGCTATCAGGGAACATAGGACAGCTCCATCTGGTATACAAGTTGCCTGATAGGAGAGTCGTACATGTACCACTAGTGGTTCAAGCCAGCAGGAACACATTAAGCCAATATTTTGGCTTTGTTCTGCATTTCACAGTAAACCAGCCATATCTCTTTCCATGGGTAAGATAAGAGTTTGGGGATATTTGTTTGTTTGACAGCCATTTGGTTTATCACATATTCCTTCCATATGAAAAGTTAAGTTGCACGTGGTCCAGGAGAGCAGTGGCCACCCACACTTGGCCTTACCTATTTTTTAATAATGTGTCTGAGTTTGTAAAACTCTTTCCTCCTGTCTCCAAGGTGATATTTATAAGGAACAGAATTTATGAGAGTGACTACACATAGCCATATAAATATCTTTCCCTTCACACTTGATTAGTGCAGCACTGTGTTCCCTGCCAGGTACTAGTGGAGAGGGAACCAGCAGGAAAGAATGATTTATGTCATTGTTTTATTCCCCTACAGCCATCTTTCCTCCTTATCTAGTGGCATTTCTCTTGGTAGCAATAGTAGCTACAGATAATGTACCCTCTGCTATCAATTTCTCTCTTGACAGTCACTCATGGAATCTATGTGAGTTGGCTAAATTTTACCTTATGCAGCATTGTTTTCTTCACATTTTTATGTTGTGATTTACATGAGAATAAAAATTATGATACCGAGACTTGCTATAGTAAAAAAAGAATAGGGAAGATTAATTCAATAAATATTTCTTAGTCTGGACATGGTAGTGCATGCCTGTAATCCCAGCATTAGGGAGGAAGAAAACAGGAGGATCACTACAAGTCTGAGCTGCACAGTGAGACCCTGCACTAAATAAATACATAAATACATAAATAAATAATTCTTACATCACAGGAATCTTATTTTTCCCTTTAGTTCTGGAGATTATATCCAGGACTTCCTGCATGCTAGGCAGGTGCTCTAGTCCTGAGCTATGTCCCCAGCCAAGAGTTCATTGAAATTAATAGAACATGCAGAGGCCAGCCAGATAGCTCAGCAGATTAAAGCACCTGCTTAGGCAGATGCAAGGACCAGGGTTCAATCCTCAGCATGTCATGGTGGCATGCGCCTGTAATCCCAGTGCTTGGGAGGCTGAAAACAAGAGAATCACTATCAGTCTGATCTGTGTAGTGAGACCCTGTAGACCCTGTACTAGTTACACAAAAAAATGTCCCCACTTGCTTGTATCACCAGTGCTATATTCATGACTGGTCATCAGATGGCATGGGACAGTTGTATCAGATGGTACAAGCTACCCAGCAGTGAAACATACAAATTATGGCCCCATTTTGCATGTGTTACAAGTATCTAACCAGATCCCTCTCTGCTGGTGCACTTGGGTACAGTGGAAAGCCAAGGGACTTTAGGGGACCCTGACAGGGCGGTGGTGGCACATACCTCCTGTGTGTGTGGGGGGGCTCATGTTCTTGTGTCTTTCCAGGGCGGCAGCAACAGCTGGAGGCAGAGCGCCTGGATGAGTATGTGTATGCCGACCACGGCCTGTACTACAACAACCGCCGCACCATAGAGCCCCCAAGTGAGAGGCCAGGGGAGCGGCGCCAGGCTGAGATGAAGCGCTTGTATGGGGAGAGTGCAGCCAAGATCCTGGCCATGGAGACTGCTATGCAGCTGAGCTTTGACAAGCATTGTGACAGAAAGCAGCCCAGGTACTGGCCTGTCATTCCCCTGAAGTTCTGAGTCTTGGGACAGGGCTCCCAGGAGAATGCTTCCTGAACAGTCCCCAGTCTCACCCCTTTCACTTTTTTTTTTTTTTTTTTTTTTTGTGGGCGGTCCTGGGGATTGAACTCAGACCCTTGTGCTTACCGGGGAAGCACTTATTCCACTGAGCCATCTCCCCGGCCCCACCCCTTTCACTTTTGAAATAAACTCTTTTCATGTCTCCTGTGAATTTCTCAGGGAAAGAGACTTTTCTACTGATATCTAAGCATGTTCACCAAGGGCCCAGTGGGCCTCTTGGGAGCTGTTTACTCTGTTATCTGTCCTGTCACTGGAATAAAATACCTGACACCTGCAGCCTGCTTTGGTTCATGGTTTGGGAGTTCTCAGTCTAAGGCAGAAGCAGTATTGTAGAAGGACATGGTGAAAAAAAACTGCTCACCCTGTGGCAGCCAGGAAGCAGAGAGAAATGGAGAGAGGAACAGGGACCCATGAAGGTGATGCCTCCTGTGACACATACCGCCAACCAGTCCCCACCCTGAGTTGGGGAACTTGTGAGTGGGTGAGTCCATTGATCAGTACCAGGCCCCTATGATCCAGTCACCTTCCAAAAGCCCACCTCACCTCTGAATACATGAGATTTGGGGGACTTTTTTTCTTTTTGGTAGAACAGGTATTGAACTCAGGCCCTTGCACTTGCCAGGCAAGCACTTATTCTACTGAGCTATCTCCCCGGCCCCCCATGGGGAACATTTTAGATGTGATCTGTAAGTAGATGTCATATGTCAGCCACTTGGCAGTCAGCAGGATGTCTACTGTTGCTGATGTGACAAACTTTTTCTTGATAAAATCAAATGTGTTGTCTTTATATTTTCTTTTACCCATCTGAACTTCACAAATACCTTAAGCCACATGTTTTCTCTGACTATAACTTCTTCAGCTCCCCATGAAAATGAGACAAGCATGCAGTGAGACAAGGCCCACTTCTTTTTAATGCCTAATACAGAGCTTGCCCTCGTGCTTGATACAGGGCCTCAAAATAAGTACTTCTGGCTTTGCAGGCCACAGGGTCAAATACCTTCACAGTGTGAAGGCAGTGATAGTAACAAAACAAATTGTGTTCCAGTAAAACTTTATTTTGAAAAACAGTGGGGCCCAGCCTGGGCAACTTTGCAAAATAAAAAATGAAACAGGCTGGGGATGTAGCTCAATGGTAGAGCACCTCTGGGTCCAACTCCCAGTGCCGAGAGAGGGGGAAAAAGGCACGGTCTACAGGTACTGCTGCTCTAATGGAATGAAAATTGCCTGGCTGACATTATCATTATCTTGTTTTCTCTACAGAGCATTAATGTCATACAGAATTGAAAGCAAAGAATAATTCCCGAGCCCAATCACTTCTGTAGTCTCTGTTACAGAAAAGGCATGATGGAGCTGAGACTCTATAGCAAATATCATTTTGATAAAGGCATCCATTTCTGAGAATGAAAATCTAAAGATGGATGAAATAGTCCATTTATAAAAAGTAGCTGCCTCTTAAATAACTCATTACAGTGCATTGCCAGGGTGAGCTGTGTTGACCCGAGAAGATTAGCACATCCATCAAAGGTTGGCCAAAAGATTATGTCTTGACGCATTTCTCCCTCAAAACACTTAGCTTCTCATACAGCTCCTGCCCTGAGACAAATGCATTACTTTCATCAGCCCCAGGTGCTTAGTTTTTCAAGCTCTCATTTTATTACTGGAGTTCCAATTTGTGCTTAGGTTATTGCAGGCAAAGTCAGAATTCACTTGTCCCTGAGGTGACACATGACTAGAATTTCAAATGTTTAGTATTTCTCCTTTTTAGTGGAAACTCATGTCTATGTACAAAATAAATGTAACTCCAACACATACAAAACAAAGCAGCCCTTGCAGCATGGGCTTAGCTCTTTGGGAGTGAGTCTTTCTGTTTCCTGCAGACTCAGAGGCTTTTCCCTAAAGGAAGTGCCACGTGGTCCCACACGTTGCTGGCTTTGTCACCTGTGGGAGCATTACTTTCACCTCTAGATTGTCTTCCCTTCCTCAAAGTGAGTGTTGATACAAATCCCCCACCATGAGGTCATGATGAGGGCCACGCTGCATAGCACCTGTAAAACAGTGTTGGCTACATCAGTAATATCAATATTTGTTCCCTGCCTTAAAAAGCGTCAGGGAAATCTAGGGTCTAACACTCAAGTAGGGAGGACTTACTCCCTGTCAGCTCTTGAATTGCTGTGTCGCCTTCTCGATGACTTACCCTCCTTCCCTATTGTTCTTCCCAGGTATCCCCTGGGACACCAATGACTTATTTGTCCAGCAGACACTTGAGTCCTGTTCATCCAGTTGGCTACACTATCTTCTCTTCTTTCGGGGTTTGCGCTGTGGGCTCCAGGGAGGTAGCCAACCCCTGTGATAGCAGTTGCCTCTACACTGGTGTAAGCAGCTGCAAGAAGCCAACTGGGGCTCACTGATGTTTTCAGCTAAAGCACTCTCTGTTAGCAGGTACAGGAGCTGCCTATATTTTGCAGGGTGGTTAGCATCACTGGCCTCTACCCACAAGATTCCAGTAGCATCCCACAACCACCACCACTGTGACAAACAAGCATACCTTCAGACATTGTCCCATATGCTGAGGAGGGAGACAAAAATCTGCAGATGAGAAACTTGCAGTGGTTTGGGGACATGGAGGCAGAGGCATTTTCAGTGCTGGCCACAGAGAGCACAACGCACAGGTACTGCTCAGATCACAGTGGGTGCTTCCCAGTATGCTTGAAGGAAGCCGGAGGGAATTCTGACGGAAATCGCACAGCTCTGCTGAAGGAAGGAGTAGGTGCAGAAAGAAGCCTCTTGGCCACGATGACCTGGCATCAGCCTACCAGGCCAATTCAGCTAGGCCTCAGCGTGCTCCAGAGAGGCCACATGCAGCTGGAGTTGCTTTCTTTGATGACAAGAGCCAGACTTTGCAAGGTTGGGCTGTCCAGGGTACCTGAATGGTATTAAAATGAGTCTTTGATCCCAATAGGGCCAACCTGGATTTTTTTCTCTTTCACTTCTGAATCTCATTTTTGCTTCTGTCAGTGAGCAACAGTCTGATGGCTTATATCCTTTGTGTGTGACCGAGTATCTGCACACCCAGCGCAAATTAATTGTCCCCAGCTCCTTGCGCAGTTGTAGAAGAATATGTAGATGGCTCAACTGAGAGGAGGAACACAGATTGCAAGTCCTAATGTCTGGTGGGAGAAAACAATTTTTTCTCTGTACCTGCAAACGCAATAGAATGCATAACACTGACAGCAACTGTGCACCCTGTAACACACAAAGCAGCTCTCCGGGGTGACCTATGACACGGTCTGGAATTAACACCAGATCCCACAAGTGAAGGACTCAGTGCCACAAGCTTGCCCCTGCTTCAGATGCCACTCACAAGTAGACTGTCACCCGTATTCTGACAAACTGGCTGTAGATAAGGGTTCCCACAACTTTCTCCTGGAACTCAGCTAATTATGTAGGACAGCTCACAGAACTCAGGGAAGTACTTAACATTTACTTGTTTAGTATTTAAAAAACCACAAGTCCTGTGTGTTGGCACACACACCTGTAGTCCCTGTATCTGGGAGGCTGAGACAGGAATATCAAAAGTGTAAGTCTAGCCTGGGCAATTTAGTGATGTAGTAAGGTTCTATCTCAAAATTTAAAATGTTCAAAGTCATGAGTTTAGCTATCTGGATGTCCTCCAAATGCAGGCTTTTGGGGGTTTACAGATGCTTCATTATGTAGTCACGATTGCGTAAATCTTTGGCCATTGATGATCAACTTAATTTTCAGTCCCTTTCCCTTCCCCAGAGGTTGGAGGGTTGAGGTTAAACCTTCCAACACTGACAAACTAAAAGAAAAAGTCAGAAATATTCTCTGAAGAATAGCTATATTTATTTGAATAGAATAGCACTACAATGGGAACATGCATGCCATACTAAAGGGGAAGGTTTTGGGGTACGTTTTTTTGTCTGCCTTTTTGTGGTAGTGGGAGTTGAATCCAGGGCTGCTCCCCTACTGAGCTACATACCCAGTCCCCCCTTTTTTATTTTGAGAGAGGGCCTCCTAAAGTTGTCCATGCAGAATTTGAACTCGCGGTCCTCCTGCCTTCCAAAGTGCTGGGATTGCAGATATGCACTGCCACACCTGGCTAAGGGGAAGTTTTTGGGACAAAAATGAAGAGAATCACATCACATGTTTTGAAACAATAGTCCTTTGCCACAATGATTAATAGTGACAAAGGTCCAAGGTACATCGGTCCAAGCTTGAACAGAGTTGCTAAGCAGAAGTACTCGTCACATAAGGGTGCACTGGCCTGTGTGGAAGGCTGAGGTCCTGGCAGATTCTTTTGTTCTGTTTACTATTAGAAAGTCATGCCTAAGAACCCTTCCTTTGTAGCTGCCGTTTTATTTCTTCACCTATTTTTTTTTTACTTTTTTTGTTAAATTTATGTGTTTGGTACAGGGTGTCACTATGCAGCTGGCATTCATAGTGATCCTCCTGTTTTCAGCTTCCCCAGTGCTAGGATTACAGGTGTGTGCCACCATGCTCATTCTCGGTGGCCAGCTGGGCGTGCCCAGGGCAGGTCCAATGTGACATGCGGTATCAGGGATTGAACCTGGGTCCTTGTGCTTGCCTAGGCAGCCACTTAGTGCACTAAGATATCTCCGCAGCCCTTCACCTATTTATTTTTGTTGAGGTTGACACTAGGAACTCCATGTTGATTTGGACCACTCTTGCACTTTCAATCACGTGTTCAGTTCCTGGCAAACAGCCCCTGTTCTGAGGCCTTTCAGGAGCCCAAGAGCTGCCTCATTCAAACAAACAAACAAAAAATGCTAAAAAAAAAAAATGCTATCACCTGGGAAACTACAAAGGATATAGGAGCTATGTCAGGAACCTGAGTCAAAGGCCAAATATCAGAGCAAAATAGTCTCCTAGAGTCCTTGTCCCCAAGTGGCTGTCAGGAGCCAGGGGCAGAGACCAAATACGTATTTCTTGTTCTATCACAATATCCC